TTTCTCTTATTTGATTGTAGGGTTTTCGCACTGGTCATATATACCGGCAGCCTTCGCTACGGCCAAAATCGGCGATGTCGCATTCAACTGTGAATAACAACGACGTCGCAGTTCCTCCGAGTGCTTCTGCTGTAGGAATGGTGCGTTGTACCAGGTTGACGTCTACTTCAAAAAGATTTGCGAACGTTGTAATGCTGTCAATAACAGTGTTGTCTGTCAACCTTCTAAATTTTTTTTGTATGACAATAAGTGTATAAAATAATATGAGGTTACACTTTTCCACATTTAGCTGGACGAAAGTGATGCGGAAGCTGTTGCTGCTCACAAACTAGCTCTTTTGAGAAAGGAACAGGAAAGAAGTCGTTGGCTCAACAGTCCTAATGCGTATCAAAAGGTGGAGATTCTCGAAACTGGGACTGATAATCCCAAGAAAATCACAAAGGTAACTGATGCATTGCTCCCTTTCCAAAGTTTCATGCTGTTTTTCTTAAGTGGGTACAAGATGCTACATCCCCATCAGCCAGTGGAACTCCTGTCAAGATAAACATGCCTCACCACTTTAGTCCGATGTCGAGCAACCCAAAAGAGTTCAAAGACAAGCAGCGGGCTATAAAGGTCTCGAATTTGGCAAAATTTTGATTTTTCAATAAAAGCCAATTCCAGGAGAGTGGGAGACTAGGAACAACCACTGCTGGCCCACAGAGCCAAATACTCGACGGAGTTACGTACGAAGAGATAGCTAAAATGCGGGTAAGCTTGGTCGGGCGCGCAGGAGTTTGTACCTTTGGTTCAAATTTTAGCCTGATGTTGATGGCATTGTTGGTCAGACAGATAGGACAGTTCTTATTGGTACGGCTAGTAAGGGAATCATTGACAGGCAGCATCAGCACAATGCTCAGGTAAGCTCATGATTGTTAGATATTGGACTTACACGTATGCTGACGTCCTGTTGGATTATTTGTGCGCTGAACATTGCGAGGTCCATCTTTATTAAGTGCTTTCAACTTTTCATTTTCCACCCCTCAAACCGATTGGAGAGGTTGCTTTCTCTCTAGGCGGATCTGTGATGCATATAGTTCCTTGTAGAATCTTACGTTTTAGCGTTGTTTTGGATACCGAAGAATCAAAGAATATGATACAACTTTAAGGTCTATCGTCAACTCTATGCTCCCAACCCATTTGCTTGCGAAACTGATGAGGACATCAAGAAGTACATGGAGGAGGTGCGAAATTTTTCGCTTTTTTCTCCAGTCCCCTGGACAGTCAAAGTGTTATTTACTCACTTTTTCACAGTTACTAGTTCCACAGTTTCTTCGTCCCCAAGTATTGAGTGAACTCAGCATGTTTCTATTATGTCAAAAAATGTTATCTCTGTTCTATGCTACAGGTCGAATTGAAATCGCCGAAATCCCGCACTCCCTGTTCATCTGCTAGAGATAAATCCCTGGAGCATTCGCAAAGAACGTCTAGTCCTTTTGAAGAAGATCCTGGAGCAGGTAGGAACTTCTATCTTACGGATCTTTTTTGGAGAAACGCATAGACATTACCCTTGTTTATCTCCTGATAAAGCCTTATTACCTTGCAGTGAGTGGTTACTTATTACCTTGCAGTAAGTGGTTACATCGAATGCAGGCAATCTAATATATAAAGAATCACAAGCGCAGTTCAAAAA